ATGTCATAGTGGTGTCACTGTATATGTGACTATTTCCACCACACACGTGTGTGTGTGTGTGTGTGTGTGTGTGTGTGATAGAAAGGTTACGTGAATTTTAAAGGTACTTTATGGAACCATAGATGCCAATGAAGAACCTTTGTGTTTAAGAGTGTAGAGACAAGAGGATGAATTTGTTTGATCTGGGTCAGTTCATAACCACCTAGCAATCACTCAGAACACCCTAGCAACCACACAGCAATGTCATGGCAAACACGCACAACACCCATAGTCTTTATAGTCATAGTCATCATAGTCCATAGTCTTTCAAGTTTTTTTTTTGTAGTGTTTTATTTACAAATTATATCATTGCATGTCACTTTCTTGGATTTTTACCTTTATTGTATGTTGGTAACACTGAATGTCTCTTCTTGTCAGGATGTGACTTTTTTTTCTTTCTGGGAAATATCGCAACAGGCTGTGATGTATAAGAAATGTGCTTTTTTGTCCTGGCAGTGATGCAGGTTGTACCGGAGACCCCGGTCACCAGGTTCTTTAAAGCGTCTGGCTACACAGACCGTAGATTTGAGGCTGGTGTGCTGACACCTGGGCAGAGAGCAGCTCGAGACAGTGACGATGTTGCAGCCTGTACACACTGGGATTTATTATGCATGCAGCACAGAGCATAAATAATAGAGCCAGAGCTTAGATAACTGACTCCCAAGCCACTGCAAATGACTAGGTTATGTGTGAACTCTGCGCCTACAGGTCCTTCATCTCTTCTTTCCCTCTGTTGTCTAATTCTGTTCCTGCACAATAATATTTGCCAGATTTAGCCATCGCATAGCGGATGTCAAACAGAGGGCGGAGAGCCGTTCATGCAGCCCTGATGATTTCATAACCAGCATTATCCTTACAAAAAAGTACTGTGATGATACCTTCATACACTTATGGCATAACCATTAACGTTTTGATGCATACCAAGATGCTTAATGACATTCTTATGCATGTACCATAGTGGATCATAATGTTACTTAAAACAATACCACAAGCCTGTCATGTCCAAAAATTACCTTGGTATGTGTCCAAAAACCATAGTATTTTGATTATCAGTGTATGAAAAAATATGGTGATGGTACAGTGTGTGCACATGCCCTGTAGCTATTGTAATACAGCCATGGTATGTGAAAACCATCGTATCCAAAAAAAAAATTATTAGCATAAGCATATTCATGCTATTAGCATTGTGCATACAAAAATTTTATTAGCATAGTACATGTACAAAACAAATGGTAATATGGTACATATCCAAAAAAAGTGGTACTAGTAATATAGTGAATATTTTTAGTAAAATACTCCTCTCTACAGGGTTCATTTTTCTAACTATTAAGCAAAGGTCACTGAAGTTTTTTCTGAGGTAAATGTTACATTTCATGTTACATTGTTTACAAGCTGTTTCATTGACAACTTTATGGTTGAAACAGCAATTGAGTGATTGCATGAGGCATGATGACACATTTTGGTAAGTTGTGCTGTATCTTTCAACATACCTTCTGATGTTCATTCATATTTATTTTGTGCTATAACTAGTAGTGAAGAGAAAGAGATGTACGTTTCACGTGCGTTCCGTGCTATTGTGTCACTTGAACTGAACCATGCTTCTGCTTGGCTGCTACAGCGATCAGTCACACCATATTAAAGAGTGCCAAGACCATAGATATGTATGCATAGATGACTTATTAGTGGCTGTTTCTATGGGCCACTATACGTAAACAAACGGCCAGATTGGAGCGGTCAAAGCCGGTCCATGAATACTAAAGAGCAAATTGAGTGTGTATATGTTATGTGCATGTATGAATAGCTATAGCTAAACCTGTAATATATGGTTAACAAATCATAATCCATCACATTCTCACCTGTGAAAGGTTATCCCATTTCTTCGGGAATTAAAATCTTGGTGGTTTTTATGACCTGGGTCTGTGTGAAGTTGTGGCATCTTGGAAAACTCATTGATTTTTACTGTGAGTGATGACACACTGACTGTTCCAAGATAGCAGATGCATCTACGTTTCTGGAGCGGTCAAATGTGGAACAACAATATTTAGTGGTTGAATTTAGTAAGAAAATTGACAGATTTTGAAAGCTGAGACTCTGTAAAACTGAGACATGGTATTACTGAGATTCATGTCCAGAAAATGGTGTTTGCATAGTACAAAAAAGTGGCATTAGCATGGTATATGTCCAAAAAATGGTATTAAAGGGGTCATATGATGTTGCTAAAAAGAACATTATTTTGTGTATTTGGTGTAATGAAATGTGTTTATGCGGTTTAAGGTTAAAAAAACACATTATTTTCCACATACTGTACATTATAGTTTTTCCTCTATGCCCCGCCTTTCTGAAACGCGTC